ATTGTGTAGGATATTCAGAATTTAAGATTATTTGTTCGCAAGATCAGTAATTTTGACATATAAGAGACTGGTGAAAAAATATATTCAAGATCAAAAGTTTATGTACCTTTATCCTACCAAATTATAATTTAACCCATTCTTTTTTTTTATAATGTAAGGTGGCAAACGAGCAAGCGGCCACCTGAATCCACCGCGGTGGAAAGCGACCGCTGCCCATAGACATCCGCAATTGCAGATGTGTTGCCTACCCTTAATTGACGGAATAGACGCACATAAAGAAGACATTTCCTCTTCCTATGCGTCTCCTCCACTGTCAAATGCACTTTTCCTTCCCATCCTTACCTCTGAGGAAAGGGAAAGGGACTAAAATTAGGCCTCCGGCACCACACTCATCAGATGAAACGCGGAATTACTTCCACTTCATGCCTGTCTTCGTGTGTGGTCGTGGTATTACACCGAGCGAGCTGGCCGTTCTGTAATACTAAAGTTCTTGTTTCATATTTTAGAACTAAGTCTTGTCATGCAATAATTATATTCATTAACATACAACTTCCTTAAATGGGTAGTTGATCTAAATGTCAATTTGCTTGTTCATCGATTAATTATTTGAGTAATTGAAATTGTAAATTGTATTTATATCATCGGGTGTACCCATTTACGGTAATGTGGTACAGAATGGTTAAAAAGATAATGGGTCTGTAAACAAAACTTCTGCAAGCGATATTTATGTTTGTGTGTTTGGTCAAAGCAACTTGTAAGTCACTTGAGACAATAAAGAAGGAGGTTGAGGTATACTAAGACCAGTTTATCTTTGCAAAGTAATGACAACATATTTAGAAACTGGGTTTTTGTTAAAATATAAATGATAATCGTTTTTACAATTTCTGACATTTAGATTAAAACTAGAATTAGTTGATGTAATATTGCGCAATTGTTTATTCAACTACGACGCTGTTTTCAGCGTTTTACCATCACAGGGAAATAGCCTGTGATGATGATAGACATTTACTCTGGTATATGATACTCTTTTGTACAATGACTTGTGTGCCGAAAATATATGGCGCTTAAATACGTCACGTTTTTATCGTTCTTTATCCAATGTTATGACAAATATTAACGTTTCCAGAATTATTATGAATCATCCGGTAAACCCGTGACATCGGCACTTTTTTTGTACTGTTATCTTTTTAACGTTATGCTAATTTCTTTAATATTGCAAGCTAATTTAAAATAACTGTTCTAACTGTTACCAAATAATTGTTAATAATCTATGACCAAATAGATCGTGAATCCGCCGAGGACGTCGAATATATGGATTCTAATTGCTATTGTGGCTGCACGAATATTCGTTTCATGAATCGATTTTTGTATCATATTAATCGTTTCAGTTACCAAGCTCGTTCTCACAATCATGTTGTCTTCGGCGGGTGACTTACGAGAGTTTTGTTGGAGAAAAGGCAACGAACGACGTTCACTTTCTCCGCAATCATGATGTGGACGCAACCCGCAATATTATCGATATTACAATCGACGATTACGTTCAATCGATGATCTGAGTGATTATGATGTTACTGTTTAAAATCTAGGATTATCGCATATCTGTTTTATATTTTTTAAATGTTTGTTTTTCAACGTCAATTACGAATAAGCTTATCGATAATTTTGTTTAGAGACTTTTGATAATGAAGGCTTTATTTTTTTGTTAGTGTGTTGACAAAATTTAACTTTACATCTTCACCAATAACATTTAGTGGGCAAGTCATTCAGGGTCGATGTCAACTGGTAGGTGACGTCACAACTGAGACGCCGGAAAAATGGACGATTTGATGTCGACCTCATAAATATGATATAAGCACCGACAGACCGACATTGACCTTTACCCACAAAGTTAGACCAAGACCTTGCTTCTAGATTTGTTTTCGGCGCCCACTTATCACCTTATTTGTTGTTTTT